CTTGATGTAAAGATAAATTGAGGATTTTCTTCACTTTTACTTTTCTATTAGGGTTCCAACTCTAACTCAAGTCGCATAAGCCCTTAGTTCTCTCTACCTATCTGAAGGTCCGGATTTGGGTGGGAGGCAATAATTTGGAAGTTGATGTGTTTGTGTCTCTCTCACCTCTCTGAAGGTCCAAAACATTATTGACACAAACATCATCAACTTCCAAAATACTGTCTTTCTCATATTAGTGGTTCGATTGTGATGAGGAACATAGCTCCTACTAATAAGATTTCATATCTCTTGGGATCTCATTTTCATTTCTCTGACGATTTCATTTAGTAAAAAAGCCTAAAATTATATCGCATACGATAGTTTTCTATATAAACCGTCGTAGTTTTACTCCATACTTGTCATTTTGTTGATCTACCATCGTAGGCTACCAAAATCCAAATTTAAGACGACCGTATTTAGAGAAGGACAATCGTATAAAAAGAATATAGACGACAGTAGTTTTCATTTAACGATGTGGAAAAATAATATAATACGACAATAAAAATGAAAAAACCGACGTGGTTAGTAAAACAACCCAATGCTATATTCTAAATAACGAAGTGGTAAATTGCATTTACCACGACCGTTTATTTATACAAACTATCGTAATAAAAAAACCCACCGACGTCTTACAAAATAAAATTATTAACTGGGCTTTTCTTTTCCTGGATGTGAATATAAATTGGGGCTTTTCTTCACTTGTACTTTTCTATTAGGGCATTGGGTGGATGTTGAAAAAATCACAGGGTTCGAGGTTTCACACACACACCTAAAATGGCATGGGGATTTGAACCTGAAACCTCTAGTCTGCAAATCAATGCCATTATTTCATTAGACTAAACTTGGTTGACAAATCTTAAAACCAATGTTACCTATGGGCAAGGGCGGACCCAGGAAATTTTATAGGGGTGGACTAGTATTTTTTAATGGGAGATCCATTATATCACCTTTTTTTTCTTTAGGTTTACGTGGTTTTTTTGATGAGGGGTTTAATGGTTAATTGGCTATAGGCTATAGGTTTTTTTTTATATGTAAAGAAAATGAGTGGTAGCAACTATTCTCAATTAACAATTTTTAAATTTGATGGGAGTACACATAGACATAGAGAGTGCAGTCATATAGATTTACAATTGCACAATCACAAGCTACAAGCATTCAACAAAACCAAGAGACAACTAGACTATATAAAAGCAAATATCAAGTAAGGAATAGATTAAATTAGAAAAATGACAAGTCATCAATAAAATCATAGCAAATTGCATAAGAAAAAAATCCCCAAAATTTAACACACAAACTCTAAATCATAAAAGGCTAACAATAACAATTGAAATTGGAAATTAAACAAAAAGTAAGAGAGAAACTCTAATATTAAAGAACCCATTGGATATAGGTTGATACAACTTTAAAGAAGAGGAGACCTACTACTTCTAAGCTCTCAAGTTCAAATATAAAGTTATAGCTTACATGGGTGGGTAATAGAAAAACATGATTTTTGACGTGTGTGGGTGCCTCTAGAGATGAAATCTTACAGTTGTGATAGGCTAATTTCAACAAAAAGTGGTGGACTCTTTTTAATTAACTTGGCTTGAACTTAAGATGAAATCTTACAGTTGTGATAGGCTAATTTCAACAAAAAGGAGTGGACTCTTTTTAATTAACTTGGATTTAACTTATAAAATTAATATTAAATTTTTTTCACCTCCAAGTTTAGCACTAGGCTAGAGCCCACTCTAGCCCATGCCTAGATCTGTCCGTGACTATACTTGTGTGTAGCCACCCTCCACATGATAGCCTTTAGAAAAGGGCTAAAAGGATGATAGCGGCAGGTCGGTAATCTGGGTTCTTTTTATTTTTGGTTACTTTTTAAAAAACTTTTTTGTTATTTTATTCTTGGTTTGGTTTTTGAGTTTTGGTTACTTTTTTGGTTACCTTTGTTTTTGGACCGAAATGCCCCTTAACAACGGCCTTGCATTGCTTAAATTGAAAATTGCATGAACAAAATTGATCAAATTGAAACAATATGGACCAAAATAATAAAAGTGACAAACTACAGGCACCAAAAACGATTGTTTGTCAAAAATAAATAAAAATGGGTCTTTGCAGCCGAAAAGGGTATTTAAGGGGGCAGATGAGAAGTAGCGGTGGCTGGGCTCATATTCAATGCCCATTAATCCACCTCCAGCCATATTTGCCCCATAGTAAAACTGAGGCCCAAGCAATTCGACGTACAGCTTTAACCTTGTCTAGAGACTAGACATGGGTTGGATTATTAGGAGGATGAATTCATCAGCTTACATAAATACATACATGTATTTCTTTTCTCTTTTTTTTTTTTTTAAAGAAAAAAGAAAAAAGAAAATAGATTGATCCATCAACTTATCAAGAATTTGCTGATGAGACCATGGATCTTCTCGTTACAAGTCAGGAAAGCATCCAAGAAGATGGTGGTTTTGAGCTTCTTGCTCATAATTTTGGGGTATCAATGGCACTTCAAGTAAGCTGTCCAAATTTCTCCAGTCCATGTGCTGATCACTGCTATTCATGTTGCTCCTTTGGTCGTCATAGTGTTCAGTGGTTATATTATTGTTTTGCTGCTCATGCACACCTTGTTTGTTGGCCAAGCTTGTTGAAATGCTTGGGCTCTCTAGTTGAGGAAGTTCTGTGAGTTGGTTGCCCATGAAAATATGGTTTGAAATGAGATGATCTTGCTGATCCAAACCAAAGGATTGATATTGAAAACCTAGGCTCGGGTTCACCATATGCATCTCACTCCCAAAATTTGAGGATGAAGCATGGCTGTTATGTTCTCTGATATAGTAAGCATGCTTCAATGCTTCAAAACCTTGCCTGTGGCTAGGGCTTGGCTTCTTGAATGCCCGGCATACAACCCATCCTTCTTCCTGCATTGTCACCACCACGCCGGATTAGGGGCTTCATTATAAATTAATTTTCATAAATAGAGAAATATCTGTATGATATTGTAGTACGACCACAATATGAGTTGAGATATAGTTAAAATTTTCCGCTTTTAGGGAATAGTATAAAAAAATATCTGCTTATATTATAACATGTAGATGAACTATACCACGTCACCATACTCCACTACCACACTAGTCCACTTTGAAGAATAAATATATGTTATTGGTCTTCTTTTCTCTCCTCGTCTTGGCAAAATATTATGAATTAGTGTCTAATACAAGTACTAGTCCATTAGAAATCAAAATTAAATTAGTTACACATTATATATTTAGGGGAGTTGATGGGATAGATATTGAACTTGCCTGAGGGGGTGCATGTTCAGATGTTTGGAGGCGATATTCATGCATGATCCAGTCAGTTTTGTTCCCATTAGGTGCTCGTCCCTTGTAGAACACAAGGGTTTTCCTCATTCCTATAATGTTGTTCTTTGAAAGCACTGCCTTGTCCCTTCCTGTTGCCTTCCAGAATCCGGCAGCCGTGGCTCTATTTGTCCGAGTTCCAGTCGGGTACTTCTTGTCTTTGTGACTGAAGAAGTACCACTCATTCTGTTCACTGTAACCTAGCTTGCATCTTGCTGCACCACACCATACATAAGACATATGTAGCTCGGTATCTATGTATTTATGAAAAAAAGAATACGGCAGAAGCTGCACTTTTCGCTTATAAAATTTATAAAAGAGGAGTACATAATGACTTCTGGAAATAGTGTCAATAACTCTTTTATTTAACCGTTTCACTTATTTTTATTTATTTTGAGGAAAGCACTTGCAGAAAAATGCGTGGCATGATGCTTACTAAAAAGATGAAAATTGACTAATTCAAAGGAAATAAGTGCATTATGTTTTTTTTTTTTCGCTAACAGAAATATATCAATGCATCTTTCATATGTATATATGATTCCTTTATACAAATTGTGTCATACCCTAAATTTAAAATGTAGTATGAACGTATACATACTTAATTAGGTCTATATATTTAATTTGTGCCATATCCATCGATCGAGGTCAAATATCAAATTTAATTCGATCTTCATGTATATATATATGTACCTTGTATGTCCCATGGTTCAATTTTGTACAGGTCAATGTCAATAATGACGTCTAGATCAATTTGTAGTGAGTTGATCTTTCTTTTCAGGTAGTAACCCACAAGTTCTTCTTCTGTCGGGTGAAACCTAAAACCTGGTGGAACACAAGACTCCATGTGATCCAGTAACAATCTTCTGGTCTCCGAGCCTGAATATCATGTATGGAAAAAAAAAGTATGAGAGAGGAGTGAGGGAGAGAGATATATATAGAACATCTTCATTATGCTTTTGACTCTACGTGTGGTTGAATATATTTTCGTCCAATATCACATCAAATGACAAATAATGATGTGATATATATTCCTTCCACACACAGCATCTTGAAGCTTCTTTTGTGGGTTTAGGCCTAACATATGAAAAGCCGAGGAGACAAATATTGACTGTCGGAGGGATATTGAAGTGGAATTCTAAAAGACTAAGAGACTAGCTAAGCTAGCTAGTAATGATGGAAATTTCATCACTTTTGTGGAAGTTGTTAGTGGTGTTGCATGTGTTTGTGGCTATGACATTGCCAAAAACAATCATGGCATTTGCAGAGGAAGAGTGTGGAGCCCACCACACAAACATGGCAGATGATCGAATTAATAGTGGTTTATCCTTATAAGTAAGCATAATTAAGTGATTGGGTCGGACTCTCATGTTAGTCCATGACATATGTGGTATTGTTTCTCCTCTAGAGTTTGTCCTACATGATTTTCCTAAGAAGGTTTTAACGAAGCCCTTGTAATCGTGCCGGTTTTTGTGTGCCTTTTATTCTTTATGAAATATGAAAGAAATCTTCTTCTAAAAAAGCATAATTAAGTGATTTCTTTTTAATTAATTTCATATGCATGGAGTAATTAGGAAAAGTATATTGAACACAAAAGTTGGCCGAAAAGCTTGACTTTGCTGGCACAAGCATGTTCTATTTCTTTGAGTGCAGTGCACTCCGGGCCTGCTACCTCCGCCTGCTAGTGCTTAGTTTTAGTGGTGGCTAAGTGCTGGAAATTAAAACATTTCATACACACCCTACGCAACATAGTTATTTCTTCAAGCTAAAAAACCAGAAGAACAAAAAAATTTGAGAAACTGATATTTCAGCACATAATAATCCAGAATCAATTGAGGTCAATTAAACTCTCGCACACCAGCGGAAGATTCCTGGTGAGATCTAATTAAGTTACGAATAAGAAGTTATGATCCAATGTTTTGATGCATATTTCATTTCTCAAAATCAAAATGTGAAATTTTATGATGAGATTCAACATTTGCAATACCTAGAACATATATGATTAAGCTATATATATATATATACATGCTATAGAAGGATTGACATAGATTATCAAAATAACCTAGCTATAAGTACCCCTGTCTGTGTAGGTATAATATATATGATATGTAATATCAAACACAAGAATACTCACAGGAAAATAAATAAATGTATTGCTGCTGTGTGTCTTTGCGCTGGCCAAAGAGAAAATATCACGAGATTGAAGCTTCTGTTTCTGAGAGATTGAGAGATCGAGATCCAGAGAGAGAGAGAGAGAGAGAGAGAGAGAGATGGATGGAGGTAGACAGGAAGAATGCAGTGAATATAAATTTTTGTTGAAGAAAAAGAGAGGCTAATAAATGTATTTATATGCATGGAGCATGGAGCTTTAGATGAAGAAAAGAAGAGTAGATGAAGAAGAGGGAATTAAGAGAGGATAGAGTGGTAAGGGTATTGATTACATGAGGATTGCGCGTGGGGTGGCAGCTGAGAAAATGAGATGGAAGGTTTATTTGGACGGCGTCACACCAAGTTTTCACGCCACCCCCCGCCCACCGCTATTTTGTTCCCTAAGCTTTTCCATATATATGAATTCAATTATAATATATATGTACTTTTAGTTCTTTTTTTCTTGTTTTTTTATAACTAAACTAGATTTTAAGTTTTAACAACTCCACACTCACGCACTCTATGTCATGCATTTATCATCCATCACAAAATCTTAGGAGAGATTCAAATGCATTGTGTATTGTTGGATGCGACTGTATACAATGGTGGTCCAACGATTTGAATTGTCTAGTTTGAGAATAATCTCTGAAAAACAATCAACACAATCAGATTTTCACTAAATTAACCAACCCTCTCACATAGACATCTATCATATTCTCTCCTGAGTATGACTTAGCTCCGTAAGATTGAGGAGGAGCTCCTACTTACAACCAATGTGATTTTGGCACTTGTTAAATTCCAGCAACATTGACAAAATTTCAACAACAAAAAAATAAAATAAAATAATTTGACACTCGTCAAAACCACATTGGTTGTAAGGAGGAACTCCTTAATCTTGAGGAGCCAAGCTGTTCTTTCTCTCCTCTCACTATCCATCCTATCTGTTTGGTGTGCCGCCCTTTGCCATTTGGCACCATTCATCTACTGCCACCTATAGGGCCATGTCAGATTTCCAACCTGTCCATATCACAGAACCAATCATTTATCCTTAATTTGTTCGTATATTTATACTTTTTCCCTGCGCAGATGAGTCCCGCCAAAGTCATCCATCACGATCACTTCTCTTTGATCACTAAGGTTTGGGTATAAGATAAGGGCTTAATTAACCTTTTCTTATTCATTAATTAACATATATGGGAACAAGAATAACCTTATTGATTAACAAGGGTTTGGCTTGGCTGTAGCTTAATCTGTCAGTCCTTCATTATCAGTCTTGGGTTGATTTAAGATATATAAATCCATAGAACAAGCAAAATAATTAATCTTTTTTCACTGATTCAGATAATAAAAAAAAAGTTTGCGAGCCCTTTACAGCTATGGCTTCTTAATATTCTTCAATTAACATTGTTCTTCTGTTGGAAAAGGCCACCAGGAGGCTCAAATTAAATGCTATATACACACAGATGCTCATCTCAAGAGATATCTAAATACCAGTTTCTAGAGATTTGAACACCATTTGAAGATTGCTCTATCACCTGTATCGGTGTGATTTTGGATTGACGTACCGTCCCAGTTGTGATTATGCAGATTTCGTGCTGCAACAGTTCAATCCAAGTTGACACCTCCTCACCCCGAATATAGAGTTGTTCCGATTCCAAATTTTTAACTGTTTTTCATGTTATTTATCTTGCTATAAAGAGATCTTCCGTTCGTTTACCATTAAATTATTATTACGGCTTTATTTATTATATGTAACCGGTTCATCTTTGGACATAGAAAGTACCAATATGAGTCGTCTCCAACTTAGACCACAGCGGCCTGGTTCGAACTTAGGTTACTTGAGGCGCAAGTTATCAATTATTCATCTTTTTATTAGGCCCTCTGCACTACGTACTACTAACAGTGGTATGCTCGCATCCAAGACAATGTCCTTCCTTCTGCCTGATGCTAGAGAAATTTGAGGTCAACAAGATCTTATGATATCTACCGACTTTCCCATACTCTTTGTTTTATAACATAGTGTGTGATTTTTCCATTCATATATAATACTCTCCATCGAACATGGTATGCTAGATGATCATTCTTATCTCGTTGCTTAGAAATTGCTTTCATCGTCATTGCAGAAACTATAGCAGGATTAATTGCTTAAATTAATTGACCAGACCACCTTAATCATTTCGTTTGGAACTAGACTTGTCAACTTGAGATAATAAAACAATGGAACAATTAAAGCTATATTAAGAGAAACAAGACAAAGGCCAGTGCTAGTGCAATATATATACTATAGTATTAGCAAATAGTCATTTTTTAAGGACAATAGTTAGATTTCTATTTATGCACTCCATTTTAATAAATCTTCACCATACACTTGTCATAATCGGAACTGTTCATCTTAAATCGCTGTTTCAAGATTATTTATGCACAGAAAAAAAATTATCAATCCAATTTACAACCACTTAGTCATCCCATATGTATCAACTAAATGAATAATTCATCATGGTCTTAATTGCACCCAAAACTATCAATTTGTTCGATACATATGGATAACTAAACAATGTCTAATTTGATTGATTTTGTTTTGTTTTTCTTCTTTTTTTTAGAGATGGTCTTTAAATAGTTATTTAAAAGATTAACAATTCCGCATGACATGTGTATGGTGAAGATTTCTGTTCTAAGTATTAGATAAATTTTTAATTACTAAAAGTTGGCAGATAATTAAAGGTAACTTTATGATAATAGATGGCGTGTAATCAAGAAAGGTTTTCTACATAGGATCTCATGCTAGACTCTTCTGTTTAAGTAAAAGTGTGAGAGTGACTGCTCTCATGACTACTGTGTCATTGCAAAAGAAAAAGTACAAATATACAAAGTAAAAATGAAGCATATTTTTTTTTCTTTTGGAAAAAATAAAATAATAAAACAAGGAAAGAAGGAAAGGGCATGCTGATGGGTCAGGACTCATGGGAACATGAGTTCTCCATGAAATTAACGTTAATTTAATAATAAATTTTTATATTGTTCTTCTTTTTTCTATTTTTCCTACAAATTTAACTTCTCTTTTTATTATTCAGTCGTTACTAAAAGATATCTGAAAAAAATTATCGCTTTCTCTAAAAAAATATATATTTGAAAAATATTTAACTAAAATAATACTGATTTAAAAAATAATTTTAGCTTTATTAGACACGTTTCTAGAATTAATTTTGTAGGTACTCTGCATGCTTCATGCTACAAAGAAACGCATGCATGGAAAATGTAATCAAGAGAGAAAAAAAAAGCATGTGGATGGCTCAAGTGACCTCCCATCACCTTTGTCTTGTGTGTGAACAAGCTCTATAACCAGTAGGTACAAGGAGGAATCACTCATTATTAGTCCTTAATTATGAGTGCAAAACAACAATGGCAATCATGGTGGCAGATCTTTCATGGATTTCATCACTGAATTGAAAATACTGAAAGTCGGCCTAGCCAATTATGAGAAATTCTAAAGAGTCCCTTTATGGTAAATGTGTGTCAAATCCGCATAAACCCTATGCCAGTACCTGTATTTGTATGGTAAAAGAGCCCCTAATGAGGGACATATAATTAGTACATTATAGTCGGTGAACGTAAGGTTTCTAGTTTCCTAAGTTTCCTAAGAAGGAATAAATTCTCAACACATCTTCTCATATGGCACCACACACAAATCAAATATATAGAGACAACTCATCTCAAGTGACGTAAAAGCACGTGTGGATGTTGGACTCAAGATGCACATAACTTTTCTCCAATACGATGGTCCAATTCAAAACTATTTGACGATTCTAATAAGATTTAATTTTAAAAAAAATTCATACCCTATCCCCATCTAGGTTAGCGGGGCTTAATTATTTATCAATGGATGGATATCTCTTTGACAAGTTCACATACCTTTTTCAATTTTTTTATGCAACGATTATAGTAGAATTGAATTTAGTACCTCTTCCAACAAAGTAGAGAGTTGATCGGTATCACTGGATTTAGTGAGGGCTCATAATGAGTCAAACACCATCTATGAAATATGTATCAACACTGAATTGATGGGATTCTTGATTTAACAGTACTAAACGCATTAAGCCTGAAAATGGATCGATCAATTTGAAGAGGTCTGCTTCATGGCCGGTTGCGGAAATGCCTCTATCATGGTCAGTCGGTGTACCACTTACCTCATCCTACGAATCATTTCACAAAAATAGTAGTAACCAACAGTATATATGACTTTGGAAAGATTCAATTTTGATATTATTTTGGCGCCTCTATTGTTTGGGTCTTAGACTATTATTTTATTATTATTATTTTTTTTTTTTTTTTTTTTGGGAAAAGGTTTGATCTTGAATTTGTTGGTCACAAATTCATTGGGGCTGAAAAAAGTTTTGTTTAGTAGTTCGTAGTCTCGTACATAATTTAAAACGTTAACATTCAAAAAACTGTTAGACAATTAATGTGGAAGAAACAAATACACACATTTAATATAATACTAATTATTATTATTATTTATAGCAATAAGTGTATTATCAGTATGTCATAAGTCCCATGTGATCGTTTTCAATACACAACTAAAATTTGTCATTAGAAACCCAAGAATAATGTGGTCTAGCCCACTTAAAAGGGGTCTTAACTTGATGACAAGAGTTCTGAGGTTCGAATTCCCCCAATATCATAATTGTGTCTGTGTGAGAAATCCACCTTTCTATTGCTTGTACTCAAAACGATTATGGGGGTAAACATAAACTTGATGATACAATAACTCAATTGTAAAGAGTGGTTGGTGGGGTTGCTTTAGCAAACAAGAAATAGTGCAAACAAAGCAAGTTGGATGTTTTGGGGCGGTTTGTGGGACTTGTTCTTTGCTGCGTCCCACATACATTAATGTATTTAATAGCAACATTTTCAATCCTCCTCATAATATCCCCATCTATTCTATTCAACAAACATTCTAGAACCTACACATAGCTAGCTAGCTAGCCAAGAGAGAGAGGTTAAACGACCAAGCTTGAAAATGACTTAAACATGCTCAAGAAGAGAGAGAGAGAGAGAGAGAGAGAGAGAGAGAGAGAGAGAGGCAAAGATTGATAATGACATGTCTCCTCACACACCCAAGTTGTCCTTTTTATATTTCCCTAAATGTGGTATGAGACATGGAAGGCTTAATGATTACTTGTGGGGTTCTAATCCGATTGTCTGTTCTTGTTCCTATACGATCCTCCTTTTTTAAATGTATAAAATTATTTACAAGAGACAACATTCATCTTCCTTGGGTGTGATATAGCAACCAACCATACTATACAAGTGAGATGCTACTCTCTTTCCACTTGCAAGCCGGCTCAAGTAGTTCCCTAGCTATTCATACTGCAAGGTGGATAAAAGGTTAAAGATGATGATCCCCTGGAAATTTTGTTTTCTAAGATTTGTTTGGCTTTTATATGAAACTGTCACTCATTTGAAGATGAAGATCACTTGTGCAACCCACTTGGTTGAATTATCTAAATTGTCTATTTTTAAGTTTCAATTAAGAGATTATATCCTTACCCAAAAAAAATATATATTATAAAATCATTTAACCATTCGAACATTATGGAATTTTAGTAGCTATGAGAAGCATTGTATTCATTTATTTATTTGCTAGAGGTTTCCATAATTCCTAATTTGGATAAAGGATAAACGATCTATGAACTAATGCTCAAAAAATAAAAGTATATATCACTGAACTACAACGCAGAGCAAATCTTACAAACAATTCTCACTTCTCCTTTGGTATATCAATTAGCTTATAGAGAGGATTTTTGCACATAAGAAAAATGCGAACATCCTATTGTCGGTATGAAATCTAATTATTAGAACCATACATTTTGTAGATTCTCAGTTGTTTCCATAATTTATGTTGATGCATAAAAATCGTTCAACCAATCAGAGTGGGGACAAACCAAGTCAACCCTTTCTCAAGGACGAACTTGGTTAGGATGTTGCGCTTGTGTATATCTTGTCCCTACTTGGAGTGGCTAAGTAGGGGCATTGCTGGCTTCTATTGCTGAAAAAGAAATAGAAGACGGTCACTAAAGAGGTGGTGGTGGGTTCACGAACTACCATCCAATGCCTAATTCAGTCTTTTCCCTAAAAAAAAGGTTACCAAAAGTACTGTACTTAAGTATTAAGGAGATTCGAGTTACCGTTTTAAGTGAAAAGTACTCCCTTTTATAAGGAATGTTAGACCTTTCTATTGTCCGTTTTCGATGTGGGACTTAGGGAGTACGTTGATGACGTGGCATCCGTTAAGTGGGTGGTTAGTGGTGGCCTAACGTGTGTCTCCCCTCTTTTTGAAAAGCACGCGTCAGTAGAACGTTCTGTGGGCCGTTCTGGACCCTCCTTACCCGTCTTGAGACTCCTCAAGTGTGAGTAAGGTAAATGTCGATTTTGGGCATAACTACCTCCTTATGTCATTTGGGCCTTTATATTTATTAGGCTCTTTTAGGGTAGACCTTATGGATACTTTTGGTGTTCGTATTAACAAATTTTTATTTTTTTTTAAAGTAGAGTTTACACAAATATTCATTGGGTGTCTAAGGGTACCTTTGTCTACATGAGTGGAGGTAGAATAGCTCAGCAAACTAAGCTATACCCCCACTAGTTGGTATCAACAATTTAAATGACCGAACAATTGTTTAACAATGAATAATATAAATATGATAGAACCATGTTCTACCTTAACCCAATGTACACAAAGAACCAACTTTATTACCAAGAACAAACTAATACAATCAACATGACCTTGGCAATGCACAATTAATCAACTAAATAGCCGATTGCAGTGCACAATTAATCAACTAAATAGCCGATTGCAGGCTAGGGATTATCTCCGCTACTAACCAACTAATAACAACCATTTCCAACGTAGTTGATGAGTGAGCAATAATATATGCTAGGTTCGTATTATTACCCTCCCTGCAAACTATCCTTGTGCTCAAGGATAAGATATGAGGCATGAAATTCTGATGCCACTTGATGACGATAAAAGCTGCATCTTATAAGTCATTGAGCCTACTCGAGCATCATGGTGAACAATAAAATGATAAACTGAATTCTAACCACCCTCTTCCTCAGTTTTAGTCACACTGTTGGAAAAGGTAGATTGTCAAAAAAACCTATTTCCTTTAATTTACATATCTTGTAACCAATACACCACTTATTTAACAAGAGATTGATCCCCTTTTATCTGGCACAAGAAAAGAAATAAAACTTAAACCTCATTCTAAATAATTCAGAAAAAATAAAAACAACAAAACTCAGCAGTTTTACTCTCTGTAAGCGCATTTCGTTAATTTTTTTCCGTGTTTTATGTTTCAATTATAAATCTAATCTAACATGTTTACAAACAAGAAAAATGACAGGACTATAATCATGCATCTACAAATACAAGGCAACTCATCCATTCATGTCTACAAGGAATTTGTCTGATAAGTGTTCAGAGAAACCTGAATGCTCATCAATTCGTGTCTAAAGGAAGTTTCTCTCAAATGAGCCCGAAGAAAACCGTGACGTTAAAGCTTGATTCATGTTTTCTGAATCCAATTTTACACTTTGCCTCCCACCTGACAAATCCTTCTCACGATCCCAAGGCTTCCACGGATGTTTCCCCACCCAGTCCTCCTCTGTCTGTTGCTTGACTTTTCTCTTTGAACGCTTTACAGTCTCCTCTTTGTGTTTTTGCACCAATGATTTTGATCGTTTTTCGTTATTGTATTTGTCCACCAACTCTGCATCTGAACTCTGCTTTTTCTTTTCCACCTCATTTGAAGCAAGGGCTGCAGCCTCATTATACGCCTCCAAGTAACTGCCATGGAAAACATAATATGTTAAAATTTCATACATGCACACACAGAGAGTTACATATTACACAAGTGCAAAGCAATATAGTACACACCCCATCTTAGCTTTCTGGGCTCTGTCTGAAGGGGTATCAGTCCAAGCACTGGTATCACCGCGTCCTTCTTTAGTGCTCTTGTTGAATCTGGTTGATTGTGTAGGAGGCATACCATGCTGACAAGAAAAAACCATCAGCATTATGACTAGCTTTCATCAAATACATATAGTCAGTTTTAATTACTGGCTGGCATTCTAACATTGTGATTCAAGTATCAAATTGATGCTCTTCGAAAGATATCTCTCAAGGCCTTATCCGTTTACCTTGTTCAGCAGATTAAGGGTGGGAAATGGGAAAAGACTCAGGTTTTGGGATGAAAGTTGGGTAAGGGAAACAGAATTTGTCCTTCTTAGTGCTCGTTTGTGCTTTAATCCTTCTACTCTTCCTTTATTTTCGAATTTTTAATCCCAGCTAAATCTGAATAATCAGGAAGTAGAGGAGTTAACCGAGCTAATATTGACTATCATAAAGAATGTGGTATTGTTCCCACTTAGATAGGACGAAAGAATATGGAGGTTTGAGTTATGAGGAGTTTCGATTATGGGATGACACACTTTTTGGTTCCTCTCAAGCAACTAGGGAGGCTAAAGTACCACATGACGTCCAGGTTTTTGGTTGGGTTATTTCCCATGGGAAGATGAATACTTGTGATCTGGTGCAGAGGAAACCCTGATGGACACCAGGAAAAAATAATTTGGTTCAGAAAATCCTTAATTTTGAAATTACTGCAGTCTTTAATTTCGAATTTGCTTGAGTCTTCTAGATTTTATTTTATTTTATTTTATTTTATTTTGTTGGAGTCTTCTAGATTTAATAAGCCTTAGGTTGTCCTGCATCAAGACCAAATTAGTGTCTACCTCCTCATTGGTGTGTGATGTGCACAAATGATGCAGAGTGTGACATTTGGTGCTCCACTGTTCAGTTCCTTGGTTAAGATTGACGATAGAGGATAGTTTAAGTTTCGAAATTCCAGGATCATGCAATAATCCATAATGTGAGAAGTTTCTCTTCTTTCGAGGTAAATATTGGGGTTTAGTGATAGAAAGATGTGCTGTGTTGGAAAATCTTAGGTGGTTTGGATGGAGAGAAATAGAAGAATACAAAAGGCAATTTATATAACAAGATAACACGAATGAAAAAGCACATACTTTCCTTTCAGGTGGCAGCGTTGTCATCCACTCATCTCTTTTTGGTGCCACCTTAACATCCATGTCTGCTAGGAGCTCATCATCACCCTCCATAGATATTCCTGTTGAAAAAACAAAAAGTTTTCTTTCAACTAGAGCAAACAATAATGTCAACACAATTAGACAGAACAATAATTTAGCAAGTGTTTAAATCCAGAATATGGAAGATTCAAGCAAGATATTGATAGTATATTTTAGTACTCCAGATTTATGGAAATATTGAAATTTACTTTAAAACATGGAAAGTTCAAATAAAACTTTAGAAATGTTATACTAATCAGTAATGCATAAATTAGACATGTAAATTCTGTGAATTAGCATATCTGTATGTTGATTTACTTTTTTGGCTTTCGAACGTTTACTTGATTGATAAAAGTTAAACGAGACAATAGCTAGCAACCCGTTACCCATTACCAAAACTAACTGACAGCAAAACATATAACCAGCAAATAGTCAACACAAGTACACGTAGTAAGTAAGACAACAAAATTAAACAAACAGAAAACCCAAAGTAACCCATTGTGAAGGCATTGGGTTAGCTCAAGTGATGGGTGAGGAAACGGGTTAGGAGGTCAAGCTTTCAATCCCTTTCAATATAACGGATAAAAGAAATAAATACATACGTGGCTTATCGTTATTCCAGATCAAGGGCTGATACCACCACAGGTTCCGGAAAACCATAAAAAAACCAGAATACAAAGGAGGATGGAGAACGGGAGTGTTATCTGATTTAGGGTTTTTCAGGTGCTAATTGGAGGCAGAAAGTGCAGAATAGGGGTTTTGGAGTGTTTGAAAGAAAAAATTTGTGTGGTGCTGTTGGGGAGGTTGAAAGGATCATCTTATTAATTGGACAATGGTTCCGAAAACCGAAGAGTTGGCATTCTGTTGGCTAGAGGCCTTATTGGGAAAGCAGTTGTGACATTTCCTGGTTGAAAGTCCCTTTGGCATGCAGTGGTTAAAAGATATGTTTTGGCAATCAAATTGTTGGAAATGGAGACATAATTATGTTTGGCAAGATGTTTGAATGTAAGAAACTCTCTAAAAAAATCTGTTTCTGGACAACATAAGTTGTCCAAAACAACACAGTAAGGCTATTTCTATCCTGAATCCTTATTGACTCTATTGTCTTAAAATTGAACTGGGACTTTGGTATTAGAAGGAACTTGCACGAAGTTGAGCTGGTGGAGTCATGTAGGAAAATCGGGTGAGAAAGGAAGAGGAGAGAGACCCAAACTCCCCCTGGCCTTTTGCATCGCACAAAAGGTGTATAGGAGTCTCTAACAGAAGTTATAAAACTTCCGTCATCTCACAGGCCGTTGGCATCACACCTGAAGTGCTTTGCAATCACTATGAGTCAACCCATGCCTCACACACAAGCAGGAAATAACAACAAATATTCACTACAACATGCAGTTGGATAATTTTCTTGACTAGAAACAACCCCAATTCCGGCTGTGCTCAGATTCTACCTACAGATCAGTTTCTGGTTCAACTTAGCATCCATGTTACAAATAATTTTGTCATTTAGGAAAGGGTAAACTGCCGAATACCACCCTGAACTATATCGACTATTGAACTTAGCACCTTGAATTATTTTTCAACCAATTTAGCACTCAGATTAGTTTAGACGGTCCATTTAGCCCATGCCGTTAGTTTTTAGCCAATTTCATCCAAATCCGTCAAAAATGTCACGTGAATGACATATGCCTCAACAAATAATAATAAAAAATATATATTTTTATAAATGTTTTATTGTTTAACAAAAAATAATAATCAATTAGCAGATCCACCAACACCGCCCCCTTCCCCTTCTCCTCCTCCACCAAATTCTCATCCCTCAGATCGGATGTGAATCACCAAGGCATAGAAAGACAATTACTGATATGTTTGAAGTCACAATATATTTTCCTCTTCTCCTACCCTTTCTCAGCAACCAAACAACCGACTGGGGAGGAGGGAAGACAATATATCTTATCAAATCTTCGACTTTCCAAAGCATTCAAACACGAAGCTTTATACGTCGCCGTCAAATCTCTCTCCACCAAGGCCACCTTCCCAAGCACCTCAGCCACGGCCTTCTTCATGGCCCAATCCTCATTGCTTAAAAACTCAACTACGCACGGCGGAAGCCAGCCCAACATGCCTCCGCCGTGGCACTGACAATGCTCCCAACAAGCTTCATCACGCAAAACCACACAAAAGCTACTAACTTTCACGATTTGGCACCAACCCAATTCAATTTTCCTTAAGAAAAAACCTATTATATCCCAATTTCCACCATATATAAGAAAATCTTCACATACCCACGAAAGTTTTTCTGATGAGAAGTTGAACTCTGAATACAACATAAAGAATTGAGGAAAACCCAGAAGTTTTCTTCCCCAAAGCTGCCAAAATATTGAACAAAATCACATGTAACACAAAACCCACAAAGAAACCAACCAAAAAGAGCTCGTATTGAGCTCAAGCATAAGCACCCAAACAAGTTCACCTTAATTTCCTTTGAAGCAAGCCCTGAATTTTCCAAATCGCAAATGAGAATGCAAAAATTGAAAGGCTCCTCATGTGAAAGGGGAGACGGTGGCTTCCGTCGGAGGAGAGGGGAGTCGGTGTTCGGGTGGGGATTTGTTGGTTTTCTTTTGTTCTTTCTATTTTGAAATTATTTTTTTTCATTTTTTACAATTTTTTTTTGTACTGTACCTTGTAAAATGGCACACTTACCCTTATAATTAAGGGAAAATTGGATGGAAGTGTAAAAATTTGACGGCAGGGGCTAAATTGACCATTTAGAATAGTCCAAGGGCTAAATTGGCTGAAAAAATAATTCAAGGTGCTAAGTTAGACAATCGATATTTTTCAGGGGGTATTTAGCAGTTTACCCTTGAAAAGCATGACATTAACTTCAACCCTCCTTTTGTATTGTGTGGGAGGAGGGAGCGAGAGAGAGAGATATTAGAAGACAAATTGAGATGAAAATTTCCATATTAGCAAAAAACAAGCTAACCTTGTAACTTTCTCCACTGTGCAGCCTCACGCATTGCTTTCAACTCAACCTAGTGGAGCAAAAAGCTGCCAAGTTATAGGTGATTTTTTCAGAATATTGCTTGATCCAACACAGTGGTGAAAATTCATACCTTAAATTTTTCATGTTCCTCCTTGAGTTTAATCTTGTCATCCAGCACTTTCCGCTACAACAAACAGCAAGGTAGGGAAAAAAACCATCAAAATCAAACATCAAACTGAAAGCTATAGCAGGGGGCCAAATAAAGACTGAATCAAATGACATATCTAACTTCATAGTTTACTATTATTTAACTAATCAGGCATTGACAATGCAATGATAAATCTCTAATTAGTCTTTGATTATGTGATAGGAGTAAGTTGTATAATTATGCATAGATTATGTAGTTATGCGAGTGTGATATGAATGCCATATGATTCAAAAAAATGGGAAATAGAAAAACAATCGGATGAGAGCAGGGACCCCAACAGAACAGTACCTTCTCACTCTACAAATCAAATACAATGCATTTCCTAAATAATAACTTTCTTTCAAAATCAATGGCTAAAACAGCAACAATAATGGGTTAGCTAATCTGTCAACTCCCTATAACAATGTAATTGTGCAGAATACTGGTAGCGTAAGTTCTAGATTCCAAATGGTTGAAGAAGCTTATCATGTTGTCCATAGCTAAAATGGGCAATTCAAGCAATGAAAAACTTGTATTCATTATTCACAACCTTAAAATAGCCAATAGCCCTCTATGTTCATCTTCCTAGGGAGCTTCATTATGTTTGTGGAGGATTAAAAGTTAGTTTTATTTGCGCCAAACAGTCAATTCTCTGCCACTCACATATGCCCCAGAAATGTTTCTATATGATCCAGTTTAAAGAATGAAAGTAAGCATGCAACCTCAAATGATGACAAAGTGTACAACTGGATTAATTGTTGAGGGGAGGGATGCTTCAGATATTCATTGTTCATACAAGTTAACTAAAGCAACCATGACCAATTGGATTGCAATCGATTCCAGTGGATCCTTTTTTCCGTGGATTGAGTGAGGTCAAATTATTGCCTGGGTTCCAAAGTAGTAGGAAAGCGAGCATCTACCTGCCCCTTTAGATCATTCTGTTTGGCTTTTAATAAGTAATTGTGCAAAATATGTATATATAGTCTAATCTCCCGCTAGATGTCCTTAAAAAATTGGAATATAATAAGAGAAACTTCACCAGCCTGAAACCAGGCTGCACATTTTCTTGTAATTCTAGCACAAATAGCAGTTCAGAAATATAAACTACTATTCTATACAGAAGAAAAACACAACCCAAGTTGTGAAACAAAACTGGTAGATTCAAACCAATAAAACAAATATTTCACAGTGATCATGCAAAAAATACATAAATATACCTCTCATCCATAATATATCTGTATAAAGAACTCACCTTATCTGGATCTTGTAATTCTTTAAAAGCTTTATTCAACTTAACAAATGCTTGTTGAGCTTGAGGATGCGAGCATTTATCAGGATGCACCAAAAGAGACATCTTCCAATACCTGACAGATAGGATCAAGTGATTAATAAACAAAGAAATCAAAGGCAACATACCAAATAGCATAAACTCAAAAGTCCACAAGCATGTAGAATAGCTAAAATTAACACAACCCTCACGATAAAAAATTAAATAAATATCAGCTGTTATACCTTTTCTTTATATTCTCAGCAGACATATTTTGGTTTGCTCCTAGAATATCATATAGACTATCATCCGCGGCATCCATGATCCTTGTAACCTGATTGGTTGCATGTTGGTCATTGAGTTTAAACAATACAAGAATAAAAAATACCAAATATAGACTACATAAAACCAATAAATAAATTAAATTTAAAGCTGGTACTTTTACCAGCTACATCTGCAATGTAAATAAAAAGTACAGCCCAAAAGACTGTAGGGACAAGGACTATTTCACTCCAAACATCCTTGGAGCCACGAAAGTTCCACAGAACAAATCTGGGAGAAAACCTTAAAGCACCAGAATTAATCCAAGGGAAAAGACTGAAATTTACTTTTGAAATCTCATTACATTGCATTAAGGTCCTATCTCTTTTATAATATGCACCTTAAAATCTAGACTACCCTCTTACTGACTACTTGTAGTCACGAGAATTTAAATTAACTCTTAAATTTACATTCTTGTATTTGACTACTCATTTAATTACCAAAATGCTCAACAACTCTTTCATCATCTAAGACCAAAACTCTTCGTCGTGCATAATTTATATCTGCTACACATGTGCAAGAGTGTGTAAGAGCAGAAGGAAAAATGAAAGCTAAGGCTAAAAAGAGATGAGTTGTGATGATTAAACATGAACTCTCACCCAATCTAAGGCAATATGTAATGCCCTTATTAACTTGAGTATTATGTCAGCGAGATAAAACAATCATACCTCTTCGAACCGCTCAGCTTCATTAGCTGAAGCAGTTTCAGCAACCATAGCAGGCGGTGGAGGTCCTATAAAAAATTCACTATCTTCTTCCAACTCAGCTTCTCTGTACATATATTATATATATTAAAAACCACGACATTTAAAGTCCTCTCAATCTGAACCATGTCCATAAGTAAGCCCAAATTATAACTGTATTCTAAAAAAATAAAACTTGAATAATTCCAAAATTTGTTTCAAAATAAAGCGACCACTCAATACAGTTAAAGAATATACCTGAGCTCAGCCTGTGCATCTGTCAATTTCGCTGCAGCAGCAAGTAACTCAGCTGATGGCATCGCAGGGCCAATTACCCTGCAATTGTTGCAAACAATCAAAACAAAATAAAAAAGCAAGGTTCTTTTCTTAAGCAAGTGTTATTAGATATTTCATTCAACATATATCAAACACATCAGTACTTGATGCAATATTAAAATCAAGTACAGAACTATATTTAAGTTAAAAATACTTTTACTCGTGTATTAATTTTAAGCAAACCAAAATGTTGGGGCTGCTTCACAGGAAAAAGCATAGTCTTATTAAAGATTTCTAGAGGAACAAAAATTATCATGACAACTTGTTTTACAAGAATAAGTTTTTCACAATTGAAAAGGAATTTTCAGCACTTTATTATATTTTGTTATCTTTCCACATTCTTTTCTTTCGAGAATACTTTGTTATCTTCTCATTCATTACAACATCAACACAAAAAATAACTACAAAGTATAATAGACAAGGCAGTAACGACCGATGAACATCGTGGAAAACCTCTTAATGCAGTTATCAATATGAGAAATTCATATGCAGAGATGGGTCAGAAAATACTAGTGAAAAGGGGTAATACTTTACAAAACTTGGTTTTGTATGGAAGCTGTAAGAAAACAACAATAAAGCAGTGCATATAAATATATTTTATAAATTTAAAAACTAATACAAGTTGGTTAACTGGACAAAAACATCAACTAGTACTTGTGAGTTTTAAATCAAACTAACAAACACTTACACAACTACAAAGAGTGAAAACAGAGTCACTACCTTCTTTTGGGACCAGTATCATCATCCTCCATGCATGGCACTGTCCTATTATTTTCACCAGCCACTTGTCTGTGTTCCTCATCCAGTTGTTTTGGATGCATCTCATTCTGTCCAGATTTAGGTTCTAAGGATGTTTGAATCATGAGCCCAACAACCTCCAAAGTGGGACGAACATTTGAAGGCAGCAAAAAAACTCCATCATTTTGCTTCAGGTTTAATGCAAGGAACAACTTCCTTAGATGCTTAATCAAAGATCTTTCTGATATTCCCTTGATGTCAACTGCTTGCCCACCATCAATCATTTCTAAAAGCTATATCAAACAAATGCTGACAACTATCAATAACATTTCATCACTATATCCAATAGGTGAAAAGTAAAACCATATTAGTTCTCACATGTAAGGTTCCAGTCTTATTGCAAAAACAAATATAAAGTACAAACACAAAACAACCACAGATTGAAGAGATTACTGAGAAACAACTAAACAAAAATAGTGTTTCTGTGTCGACTGCCGGCCCACCATATCACTGTTTATGGTAGCAAAACATTGTCAATTCACACTTTTACGGGCAATCAGAAGAATTATTTTATACAACATATTACTGACAGATTTGAATAAAATATGCCAAAAGACCATCTGAAAAACATAAAGTACCTTTGACATGGAACCAAAAAAAAAACCAGTTGATATGAAAATCAAACTGAAGATAACTACCGATCAGTCTAAATTCATGGCTGGAAAATATTAGAAGTTCTCTAGTTAATATTCAAACTTAATCAAATAGCAAGTCAACAAGAAAAATCAAACTTCAATAACTGACAATTAGTATCATGGCTGGAAAATATTGGGAGTTCTCTGGTTAATATTCACACTTAATCAAATCTTAAGAGTTTCATACATGAATTCTACTCCATCTATTTTGAACATAAATTTTGTTAAGAAGCACATGCAAAAAGGATGATAAGTTTACCTGTTTCAAATCATTCCCATACCTGGGTCTGAATCATCACCACTTAAAGACCCCCCAGAACCAGAGTCATCATCAACCCCATAAGCCCTCTTCTTATTGTCCTCCTTTTTGGATTTCCTTCTCCTCGTCTCTCTCTTGCTTCTCCGTTTCTCTCTCCTTTCCCTTCTCCTTTCTTTCTCTCTTCTCGAATTATCATCTTTTCTGTGGCGGTGGCGCCGGTTCCTCTTTGAAGAGCGTTCAGATTCCTCAGAGCTTGAAGAAGACGACAATGACGAATCGTCGTCGCTTGTGTCGTCAAAATGCTTCTTTCTCTTGCTTTTGCTGCCCATTTTAATTTGACAACCCAATAATATTCAACCGACCGAAGCAGAAGTTCCTACTTGTTATTCGATAAGGCATCAATTTAAAGGTTAGCAAAAACCATTACACCTCATCATCAATTTCTGAGTGGATATTAAACTAAAATATACAAAGAAAAAACTATGGAAGCTTACCTACGCAGAAGAGCCTTGGTTCGAAACCAGGATTTAAAGCCTGGTGGTGGTGAAGATTTGGTGCCAAAATTGTGCACTTTTTTGTGAGCTGCTTACAATTCTCCACTCAGCAACAATTAAACCCTAAATTATAAATAGAAAGAAACTAGAAATTAAACCGTATATTTTAGAAATTGAAATCAGAAATCAAACTCCAAATCATGAGTAAGAGATTGAAGAACAAAATAGAGGGGCATGGGTGCTGCTGTTAAACTTAAATGAAGAAGATGAGAATTTGAACAACGAACCTGCAAAACCAGAACACGCTGGGATGGGATTTGCCTGTCTGCAACAAATACATGGCCAATATGCTGGGAAGGGTGTGTTTCATTCGAGAATAAACAAGAAAAATAAAATACAGGAATGAGAAAGGGATGGAGCTTGGGTTGGGCTACGGGCTTTAAAATTCTTCTTTGTAGAAAAAAAAATATATTGTAGTTTGAATTTTGTCAATTTTATATTTGTAGTTTTCAATTTTGCTAACTTTATTCTTGTAGTTTTCAATTTGAAGCAATTCAATGAATGATTTAATTTTTATTAAAATTCCTTCCAATTCCATTAAGTTTTGAATACCTGCACTCATGTAGAGGGGTATTTTGGCACTTTTGAGCCAAATTCTTTCCAATTCACCCAAATTTTAAGCTAGAGATGTAAATTTTTCTAAAATCCTAACGCTTTGTTTAGATAAGGGAAAATAACTCAAAATTTTGTTAAAAGTTAGGAATTTAAGAGGAGAAATTGACATTTCCTTTGTTTGGCAACTTAAGCGCGGAATTTATTAAATGACACGAGGAAAAAATCATGGAAATTGAGGCATCAAATTCCCGAATTTAATATCCACCAAAATGGGCGTTATTTCACAATTTCCATAGTGTCATACTAAATTCTGTCAGTTACAAAATTCGACATACATAAATCCAAACATTGAAATATTTAATTGCCATAAATTAAAATAATGGAAATATAAATTCTATCATTTTATAATTCTATATAATTTTCAATTCCTTCATCCAAACGAATGGTAAATGTCCTTTAAAGTGAATTGAAATATCCCTACACATGGTCACAAATTATGGTTGACAAGGTCGTGTCGTGTCGCGTTCGTGTCGTGTCAGACTTTTAAATGTGTCAAGAATCCTCAACCCGTACACAACCCATTCATTAGACGTGTCAAGAATTCCAAACCCAAACACGACCTATTTATAAAGGGGTTAACACAACAAGACCTGTGTAACCTGTTTACTAAACAAGTTGAGTTAGGTCACAAACAAGTAACTTGCTTAGTAACCTGTTTAAAAACCTACTTAAAATCTAAAATGTTCTATTTCTTTTTTGATGAAAGTAGCCGTGTTATAAACATTCCAAAATCACACTTAAATTAAAAAACTTCAAATACAATTTCATCAGTTCACTCCAAATCAAACATAAAACTTTGATTAAATTACAACATAAAATACAAATGACATTCCCAACTCCAATAATATTCAACCACCAACATTGATGGTATTTGAACACTCAACAAATTGGGAGGGATTCATGTCTATCTTGCTAATATCCTTAGTCAATTCTTCCAAGTTTTGTGCTAAAGTGGAATTTTCTACAATTCAAACCATAAGGCTTCAGCAAATAATCATAAAAAGAAACAAATACAATCAATAAGATGATAGGAAGTATACCTTGTTCACCAAATATCTAGTCTCGTGTACAAATGAGTGCCTCAACATTTTCAGGTTTGAGAGCACTATGATACTGATCAAGCACTCTACTACCAACACTAATGATGTCTCAAAAGCTACTGTAGATATTGGAATAGATAGTACATCACGAGCCAAAATACATAGGTCAGGATATCAAAATTGGTTTGCTTTTCAAAAATCAAGAACATTCAAATTTATCTTCCTGTCTACTTTAGGCTCATCTAAATACAATTGTAGCTGAGACTTTTGGCAAGAAGTGGTAGACTCCTCACTTAGGTATCAAATTCCTAATAATATAACAACATTAATATTGTGGGAGCCAAATTATATCAAAACCCTGGGTCAAATATTTCCTTCCATTTGGGGATTATTTGACCTAATTGAGAGTTACTCAATTTAATTGGGAGTTACCTAATTAAATTGGGATTGATTGGATTCCTACCACAATTAGGGATTTGATTAATTCAAATAAATCAAATCCCTAATTAATCAAATCTCGCCAAATCGGGGAGGAATAATTTCTTTTCATTTACGGAATTATTCCTCTGAAACTCTAGCCTCCTAGGCCCCTATAAATAGATGTCTACACACAAGGGTTGAGGTACGTCTAAAATTCCTACTGAAACTCTGCAGAAATAATCCCTCACAAACCCTAGCCGCCACACTCTCTCTCCCTCCTACACAAGGCTCCACCCACCATTCTGGCCACTCGGTTTACACCTTACACATATATCTATATACCCTATTAGCTATTATTTTCTATACGAATCAATTGAACTAACTTAGGCATCGAAGGGCCTTTGGCCAACACCCCCTGGGTGTGGTCCTCTTATTTGTTCTATTTTGCAGGGAAAAAGAGGTGGCGAAGAAGAAAGGGAAATTTTTCCAATAGAATATTCTCGTGGGAAAAATCACTCCCACAAATATTAGCACATAGTCAAATATAAATTGAACTTTGATTATGAACAAAATAAATAGCTTTTTACCTTTCGTCCAAAAAAAAAAAAAAAAGCTTTTTACCTTCATAACATCCATGCATTCCTTAGAAACCATTTCGTCAACATGAGAAGAAACACCATTTGAAGTACTTGATGTACTAGCAACTAATTCAGATTTAGAATGTATTTTCATGTACAAATCAAAGAGAGAAACCAACATATCATGAACTTTAGCCATTTCTTAGAGTTTGTACCATACAACCTTTTATAACAAAATTCGACAAACTGAAGTTTATATCTAGGATCCAATATCACAGCAATTGCAATGATCAAACAATACTCTTTCCAATACGTATCAAACTTTTCCATCATCTGAGTTGTCATAGATCTCATGAAATCATCTAAATCAATCTTTTTCTTTCTCAACATATCTTCCACCACAAACACTTTAGGAAAATACAAATTTGCAGTAGTGTATTTAGTTCTAGAAAACAAGCAAGTCTCATTATAAAACACCTTAAGAAACTTGCTAAGTTTTTCTAATTTTTCCTACTCATCTTGAGATGGAGAATTCTTGTAATTAGAATCACTTAATTGCAAATGGAGAAATGCTCGCTGATAATAAAGTGCACTGTCAATCATAAGAAATGTGGAGTTCCATCTAGTGGGTACATCTTGGTGCAAGCCCTCTTTACAATCTAAAGAAGCTTGTGCAGCACAATCTAAGAATTTATGTTTCCTCCCTTGTGAACCTCTAACGTACTTAATACTTTCCCTAATTTTTCTCACGGAATCATCAATGTGTTTCAACCCATCTTGCACTATCAAGTTCAGAATGTGAGCACAACATCGAACATGAAAAAATTTCCCATTCATTAAAAGTGCATTCTTCCAGTTAAGTTGCCCCTTTACCAACACAACAAAAGCATCATTTGAAGATGCATTGTCCAAAGTCATTGAGAAAAGTTTCTTTTCCACCCCACAATTAGTCAACAACATACAGATTTTTTCACACAATGCAACACTGCTATGAGGAGGAGACATAAAAATGAAATTCAAAATTCTTTTTTGCAATTTCCAACTAGCATTAACAAAATGGACAGTGAGAGAAAGATAACCATATGTGGTTATAGAACTCCACAAATTAGATGTCAAACAAACTCTTCCAGGAATTCAACCCAAAAGTTCCTTAAGCTTAACCTTTTCTCTATTTTACATACTCAACACATCAGCCTTTGCAGTATTTCTAGATATCAATTTGATATCAGCACAAATGTAATTAAACACTTCCCTAATTCTAGCATACTCAACAAATTGAAAGGGCAACTCATGCATGATAATTGCTATCACTAGTAATTCACTGAATTTATTATAATCAAACTTAGTAGACCTTGTTATGATAGACCCTTCAAATTTAGATAATAATAACTGGCCCAAATCACGAGTATCAGATTTCAAACAAAAATCAAGATGACGCTTCAAATTTCCTATACCATATCTACTATCACACAAGTACTTATTACCACATTTCATGCACTCAGCAGAAAGCTTATTATTTGGATCGACAAGAAGAATTTCAAATTGATTTCATACATGTGATGTGAGTTTTCTATGTCTCTTATCAACTTGAGCTATAGCAACTGCATTGTTGTTAGACGGATCTGAATCTTGCACATTACTTCTAGCTGCTCCACTGTCAAAACTATCACAACAATCTTCAAAAGGATCCAACTATATGAAACATAAAATAACATTGGATGAGTTTTTTTTTTTACAGAGAAATATCCCATTCTAATTAATTTGTATTTTATAGTAGCCATTCCTAAATTATTTATTTAAATATCCCATTCTAATGTTAGCTTGGTCATGCAGTTTTTTGCATTGCATTTTTGTGGTTTTTATTTAATAAAATATCATTTTCAATGAATGAATCATGGTCAAGCTGCAGCTTATCTTATTCTTAGTAACAAAGAAAACAAACACCAGCAAAACAAAGAAATCAAACACCAAAAAAAAAGAGACAATGAGATTTAGGAGGATACCTGAGAGGGAATCGCAGAGATGTAGAGATGCAAAGGGAGACACTCAAATCTGGATCCCAATATGAGGCCTCAACCCCTGGTATTTCCCAATTTGTTGTAGGAGATTTAAGACGCAGAGATGAAGGAGAGACGCAGAGAGAGACAAGAGGGAGGGGAGATGCAGAGGGAGAGGGAGAGACGCACAGAGGAAGGGAGATGGAGAGACTAAGAGGGAGGAGGAGACACAGAGGGAGGGAGATGCTATAGGGGTTTGGTTTGGAGGCTAATGTGTGAAGTGAATTATTCATATAGGTAAGTTCTTCTAGAGTATCAAATTAATAACTTATATTATATATGTGCTTTTTTTCCCTAGGGTTTCAAATTAAACGGGTTATTGGGTTTTAAGTTGGTTGACACAACCCGTAACATGATCCATTTAATAAACGGGTTAAATATGTATTTTAGCGGGTTGGTGGGTTGACCCGAAACCCACCCGTTTATTAAATGGGTCATAACGGGTTGACCCATAAATTACCCAATTATTAATCGTGCGGGTTTCGAGTTGTGTAACAGGTCGTATATGAAATTGTCACCCTTAATGCATATACAAATGTCAATAGATGGTTCCACCTCTGTCTTGCAATTATAAAGTTGAAGTTGGACTATCAAGTTTACGTATTGCCTTCTTATATTGCCTTCATATTGCTCTTATATTGCTGTCTTAGTACCTTTGTTTCAACACTATTTTGTCAAT